GCTGCTTTAGAACATTGATTTTGAAACTTGTGAATCCATTAGAATCGTTAGAAGACAGAATCGTGATTCATAGATGAATAGATTTTTATGTGCACCTCTAGTTTTCTCTTCCTCTTCTCTAAAGCAGCGCAGCTTGGCCTTTTCCCGAGGGTGGGGTTTATCTGGGTTTGTGATGTCACAAACCCAGGAAGTAACTCGATGTAGTCCCTACCAGCCGTTTTTGTAGGCATTAAACTGCCAGAATTTTAAAAGACGATATCTCCGTTTGCATTGAACTTTCAGCTTCGTAACTTTGCAGATATTGTTTATGCTCAAACAGCAACGTTACACACTAACTAACATTAAAAAGTGAAATTGCAATGCACCACCCGTTTAAAGGGATAGTTCACCCAAAAATGAAAATGCTGTCATTAATTACCCTCATGTTGTTCCAATTTCGTAAGACCTTCGTTCATCTTCGGAATACAAAGTAAGATATTTTTGGTGAAATCAGAGAGCTTTCTGAGCCTGAAATAGAATACATTTTAAAAAATAGTCACACTTGTGATTTTGGGGGTCAAAATTACTGGCATAAGAAATTAATGGGAAAACATTGGGTGGGAATAGAATCTGCAAATCATCCATGATAAAGTAGCCTGTGTCTGTCTAAATATATGCAAAGCCTAATAAAAGTAATTATGTCTGATATATATATATATATATATATATATAGTGTAGTATGAAAAATAGTAAACATTTTCTTCTATTATTAATATTATTTATATGGAAATAAATGGTGAATATTGTCTAGTACCATGAAAGTCCCTCAAAATACAAAATATTAAATAATAAGTATTATTGAAACTAAATATAGTACAACCACTTCATTACAAAATATGCTTATTGTCTACAAAAAAGACCACCACTGTATTAATTGAAAACAGTATTAAATAGTTTTTATGATTATAATTTATATAATTTTTTATTGAAATAAAGCATTAAAATAGCACCATGAAATCCCCTCAAAATACAAAATTATGCTTATTGGCTACAAAAATGACCACCACCAAAATAGTATTTTTCTATTTATGATTATGATTTGTATTATTTTATATGGTGAATACCATGACATCCCCTCAAAACATATTGATGTATAAATATTAGTCAAACAAAATATAGTACAATCTTTTCACTTAAAATAAAAAGTTATGCTTATTGTCTACACCAGTGTTTCCCAACCTTTTTTTTGTTAGCCGCGGCACAGTTTTGATAAGTAAAAAAATCCCACGGCACACCACTAAGCATTGAAATATAGCAAAATTGCACAAACATGCATTGCTTCAAATGGCATATTAAAACGGGATTTTATATTAAAAGTAGTACTCACATTTAATGAGAAACTTGAGCTTAAGTCAGGTATGAACATAAGCTCATAGGTAGCTTTATGTTGTTGGTGATGATAAAACAACAAATTTACATATTGTCGCTGTCGGGCGGAAACCCGTTTGTATATCCAAAACCGCTACCACTTTCAGGAAATTAACATAATTAAACAGCGTGGTCAAAGTTGGTATTGTTGCTTTATATATGATCAGACACTTTCGAGGTTTTTGACCATTGAATGACAGTAATAGGCCTACGGCCACGTCTGAGGCAGTGAGTGCATCGCATTACGTTTTCATGAACTTACAGGTTATAAAGTTTACTGTAGCTATATGGGCGCTCAGATTTTTGTTGTTGAATACGTTTAGCCAAAAAGTCATGATATGAAAGATGAAGCGCAATGCACGGGATATATAAAACAGACTCTTCTCCGCTCTTCAAACACACACAAAAACATTAGCCTTCATAGACACATAATGTTTAATCCCTCACATTTTCTGCAGAAAACGTACAAATCTAGTCAGTATTCTTCATTTCTGTTTTTCAGCATGGCCGTTATGGAGTGCCATTCTCTCTGGTCCAGAGATATTCTGAAGATCTGGACAAACCTTTGGGTGACATTGCCATTGTGATGGATCAGACGAGAGTCCAACAGCTTCTAAAGCAGCATCGTATAGCCGTGAGTCTGCCTGCTGATGACTTACAGTTACACACTCTGGACAAATGAGTCTGACTTTGACTTGATTTCATATCTCACAGATCCCACTGAGAGGTTTGTCAGAGATCTGTGTGATTCCTTGAGCATGTCGTAATGGATTTCAGACCTTGGAGAGCAGCTTTGGAGGAAGGGCTGGAATGATCAAACAGCAGTACTGCTTCATTGACTCTCCTAGTGCCATTTTACTTGCTTTTGATTCAGCTGAAAGTTTTTCCAGCTAGAATGTGCCCCGACTTATTTAGTCCTTTTCGGGTTTAGACAGCACGGTAGAAACTGAAATAGTTTGACTTTCATATGTGGCTGTGTTTTGAAGTCACTGATGAGTGATTTCTTTTGAATCAACTTCTGATTTCTATCTGTTATGATCTAAATGCAACAGTTCCAATGAAAACTTTTTGGGAGTTTATGCGAACCATAAATGTTGCCTTTGAAAATGTACATATAATAGTGACTCTGAGTGTAAACCTACATTTGTTGTAATATGTTTTGGATATATTGAATAGATCATCATCATCATTTTTTTCTTCTTCAAAAGAAGCAGTTTTTTATTATTATTTTGATATATATATTAAAAAAACTGGCTGGACTAAAAAGCATGTTTTCTGTATGCCGCATTCTTATATTTTCAGCAATGTTCAACTGATTTCAAAACATATTTATTTCCAGCTGTAATATTTTCTTGTAACATTTATCACCCATTTTAATCTATAATCATTCTTTTATGTGATAAAGAAGGGTTCTGTTATTTTATGGACTAATGCAAGTTGGTGTGAACGAACTGTGAAAGGTTGTAAATGGATTTTCAGAGACAAATGTGTTTTAAAAGCTAATAAAGTCAAAAAGCTCTAATTCGTTTATTTTCATGTAGGCCTATAGTCATTTGACTGTACATACATTTCTAAGAATGACCACATATAGCCTAATGTGCAAACGCTGGAAATGAAAGTTGTTTAAAATAGTTTAAGTGCTACAATATCCATCTTATTTTGCAAAGAGGAAGTAAGCTCTTTTTGTGAATGTGCGAGACTTCCGATTCATAGGCCGCTATTAACTAGAAGAAAACAAAGTACAGTAAACGGTCAAAGTAGTTGCACTACAAACCAGTGTTTATGATTAAGATAGTTGATTAAAATTTAATTTTAAAAATTATTAAAATAATAGGACAACAAACAGACACCAGAAGCCTTGCACATTCAAGTTACCTTAAAGGGGTCATATGATGCGATTTAAATTTTTCCTTTCTCTTTGGAGTGTTACAAGCTCTTGGTGCATAAAGAAGATCTGTAAAGTTGCAAAGACTAAAGTCTCAAATCCAAAGAGATATTCTTTATAAAAGTTAAGAGTCAACCACGCCTACCTAAAACGGCTCGTTCTAACACGCCCCCACATGTCTACGTCACTATGTGGGAAGATTTGCATAACACCGCCCAAATGTTCACACAAAGAAAGAAGGCGTAACTTTTATTCTCGCTGTAGTATTGTTGTTGCCGCTGCCGCCATGTCGTGAAGGCGCTGTGTGCTTCGTTGTGAAAGCGAAACTACTTTGTTTGGCCTTCCAAAAGAGGACGATATCCGCTTCGTCATGCCTGGAGCTGATCTGTGCTGGTCGCTGAGGAAATACATCAACTTCACGCTGTGGATCGCCGGATCGGCTTTCACCGTGGATGAAGCGGAGTCCAGCCCGGGGTCGTCATATGTGGTTGCCGCAGGCATCACAATATGGTAAGGGGCCTAACATTTAGCTGTGTTTCGTTGTGAAAGCAAACTACTTTGTTTGGCCATCCAAAAGAGGACGATACATGCCTCATCATGCCTAGAGCTGATCCGTGTTGGTCGCTGAAGAAATACATCAACTTTGCGCTGTGGATCGCCGAATCGGCTTTCACCGTGGACGAAGCGGAGTCCAACCCGGGGTCCGTCACATGTGGTTGCCGCAGGCATCACAATATGATAAGGGGCTTAACATTTACATACACACAATAATGTTCTTTTTAGCAGCATCATATGACCCCTTTAAAGATTAGGTGGCTATTACTTTTGTAAACGAGTTAGAGAAAAGTGAACAGTACCTGATGTCTAATTGGTCATTTTTCGGTTATGGCCACTGAAACTTTTTAATTGTTCAAACATTTAATTATATATATATTTAAAAAAAAACTGAGGGTCTCAACACGCCCCCAAATATCGTGCACACCTGCAGTTTAACGCCGCACGGTCATTACACCAAATACACAAAATAATGTTCTTTTTAGCAACATCATATGACCCCTTTAAAGATTAGGTGGCTATTACTTTTGTAAACGCGTTAGAGAAAAGTGAACAGTACCTGATGTCTAATTAGTCATTTTACGGTTATGGCCACTGAAACTTTTTAATTGTTCAAACATTTAATTATATATATATTTTAAAAAAAACTGAGGGTCTCAACACGCCCCCAAACATCGTGCACACCTGCAGTTTAACGCCGCACGATACGGTGAGTTCGGAGAGTCTGCCCTGAACGCATCCGCTCCTCTGAGAGCAGTGTGACACCAGTGATGTGTTAACAGAGATCAGATGGATTAGTATCATCTCTCTGGATTCCCGTCATGAGAATATGATGACTTTCAGAAAGCCTCTCTCTCATAAACACTTGAGCGGCTACATGCGCGTCAGGAGCCGCAGGGGAAACTGGCTCGCGGTGGTTCTGCTCCGAGTATCTCGCCGGGATCTGTTCTTCTGTCTGACCGCTCTCCTCATATTCTGCCTGGGCTCTGTGTTCTATCAGTTAAACGGAGGAGCACCAAAAGCCGTGCTGGATGTGGGTTATTATCTCGGTAAGACCTTAAACATACTGTGTGCGTTTTTCAGGAGTCATGGGGTAACTTGGCACAGTGGAATCTGCTGTCTGCCTATACAATACTTTTAAAGGACCTATTAAAGTTACTTAAAAAGTTATTTATATATGTTATATTTTTTTTTCTTGTCCTGAGTTCATATATTTAGTTAATATTTATTTGTGTATATCAGTGTATTTTTTTCCACTAGGTGTTTCAACAAAATCACTACTAGAGGAAAAAAGCATTTGTTTAATTGGACTTTTGACTCAAAACCTTTATTTATTTATTTATCAATTTTTTCATGAAGTTAGTGAAAAAAACTTTTTAAGTAACTTTGATGGGTCTTAAAAGCATTGTATTATAGTATTAGGTTCTAAACAGATCTTCTTTTGCTTACACAGCAATATGAACTTATAAGTTTCCTGACGTGTCTAACTAACTGAATTCACTTTAATGATTCAGGTTATGAAGTGTTAGCAAAGCCTGATACTGTAGTTGTGTTCTCAGATCAGCGGCATCAGTCAAGGTTCATAAAGAGCAGACTGTCACATTTGCTCTCTCTGCTATTGGTCTATTCGACACCAGTGTTGTTCTTGGCTTTTAGAGCAGTGCATGAGACCCACCGGTGAATTTCACACGAGTCCATGTAAACTCATGATATGAGGCTTTTCATTGTCCTACAATGACTGATGGAGGAGTGGAAGAACCTGTGGATTTCCAAAGCATCAGTTCTTAAAATACTCATATAAAAGATATCAGTCTTACATTTCAGTACCCAAGTCTACAAATATTATACAGATGATGGAACATCTGGCATTTCATCTCAAGAACTATAAGGAGTGTATCACACAGCAACGTCTACTTGTGAAATTCAATATGCACAATTATATGTAAAGTATATGGCAGGCACACTTCTATTTATTTTTATTTTGTTTTAAACTTTTTAGGGAGATTTGCTGATGGCCATGGACCTTTAGCACCCAGAGTAAGAGCATTGCATGTCATACTATAAGATTTGAGTGTTTGAATCTCATTTGTGACCGTAATGTCCTACAATCAACTGATGCATATACATGTTTATGCCAATATGTGGTAAGATTGTTCTTTAGTGGAAACGCTTTGAATGTTGCAAGAGATTTCTCTGCTGCAGGCTCTACCGTTCCCAAGTCAGGTTGTGTATAACAGGGTGGGTAAGTGTGGCAGTCGCACTATAGTTCTGTTGCTGCGCATGCTGGTGGACAGACATCGGTTCACTCTCATCTCCTCTGATATTCACAACAAGACCAGACTCACCAAACGTGAACAGGTAATCAAAAAAGAATTGCCAATGTAAACAATGTCTTGTTTTACGAGCGTCACATTAGCTGCCAATTCATCATTATAATTCCAGTATGCCAATATTTCAGCCATCATCCACCACTGAACCATCACTAGTCATTCATTTGAATTGTTCTTCTTTCATTTGTGTGTAGGAAAATCTGATTAGAAACATCAGCACAACTCCTCAGCCATTTATTTATACCCGACATGTGCATTTTCTCAATTTTAGCAGGTGAGTTGATGCATGGCTACTCATCAAATAAATAAAAACATAGAATTTTGTTTTTGTAATTGTGTGTATTTTGCCATTTCACCTGTATTAATTATTAATATGTATTATTTATATTAATAATAATAACTAATTAATTAATGAATTAATATAATTAATTATTAATAATAATATTAACAATGCTAAAGTCTTCTCGATTTATTTTCACTACAAACTGTAATTAAGACTCAAGAACGGGACATTAGCGTTTGTACAAACTCGTGTAAGTGTATCCCGAGAGACCTGAAAGCAGTGTTACAATGTAGCAGATTTATGCTCATTCCCAGCTAACAAAAATATGTTCTAAGAATATTTTGCCAATGTTCCCATTACTTTATGAGAGCATTATTTCTAGTTGTTCTCTGAACATTCAAAACATAGTTTTTAAATTATTTTTTAAAAATGTTTTCTTGGTTATGTGAACATTACATTTGGATTATTCTGCAGACATTATGAGAATGTTACTTGAATTGAATTGAATTGAAAAATGATTTTCCAGCTAAGACGTTTCAGAAAAAATTTTCCATGAACGATGTATAAATATTTTTTGTGCTGACATTTTAAGAACATTATTAAAGGGGTCATATGATGTTGCTAAAAAGAACATTATTTTGTGTATTTGGTGTAATGAAATGTGTTTATGCGGTTTAAGGTTCAAAAAACATAATTTTCCACATACTGTACATTATTGTTTCTCCTCTATGCCCCGCCTTTCTGAAACGCGTCGATTTTTACAAAGCTCATCGGTCTGAAAAAGCAAGGTGTGCTGTGATTGGCCAGCTATGCAGTGCGTTGTGATTGGCCGAATACCTCAAGCGTGTGACGGAAATGTTACGTCCCGCATGTGGCCTCCGCTTCGTCCACGGTGAAAGCCGATCCGGCGATCCACAGCGCAAAGTTGATGTATTTACTCAGCGACCAGTACGGATCAGCTCTAGGCATGACGACGCAGATATCGTCCTCTTTTGGAAGACCAAACAAAGTAGTTTCGCTTTCACAACGAAGCACACAGCGCCTTCACGACATGGCAGCAGCAACAACAATACTACAGCGAGAATAAAAGTTCTTTCTTTGTGTTTCTTGTGTGAACATTTGGGCGGCGTTATGCAAATCTTCCCACATAGTGATGTAGACATGTGGGGGCGTGTTAGAACGAGCCGTTTTAGGTAGGTGTGGTTGACTCTTAACTTTTATAAAGAATATCTCTTTGGTTTTGAGACTTTAGTCTTTGCAACTTTACAGATCTTCTTTATGCACCAAGAGCTTGTAACTCTCCAAAGAGAAAGGAAAACTTGAAATCGCATCATATGACCCCTTTAAAGACCAGGTAAGTGTGATTTTGAACTATTAACGTTACTTGCCAGAACGTTAGCCAAAGTTTTGAGAACATTTCCTGTTAGATGGGTTATATTCAGCAAAAATAATGGGGAAAAAAGCCATTTTAGAGTTATCTGTATTTATCGCTGCGTAAGTGTGGAATATTGAATACCAAACTAACTCTGCTGTTCCATTTTTGCCATGAATGACGGTGAATATTTGAAAATATCTGACTTTTCCAGGCAGCTGTGTAATAAACAGAGATAAAATAAGGCATATTCTAACATGAGTCCTCTCTCTACTGTAATCAGGTTCAGAATGGATGAGCCCGTGCACATTAATATCATCAGAGATCCCATCAACCGATTCCTGTCCAACTATTTCTTCCGGCGCTTCGGCGACTGGAGGGGGAAAGAGAATCACGTCGTCCGGACCCCTGGGATGAAAGACGACGAGAGATACTTAGTAAGAGATTTAAAACAAATGTTTCTGAAGAAAGCAGTAGTTCAAGCAAAGTTAGAGAAACACAGTACAAATGTAGATTAATGAGCACTGAGTGCATGAACGCTGGACTGTGCGATACACATGAATGCCTCGTTCACTGCTCAGCGGGCAGCGGTTATTAACATGGTTTACTCGGTCTATATTTAGTGTGAGACTGACTGTGCTGCTGGCTTTCCTGTGACGTGTGGTAATGCTTTACAGGTCGTGTATATACAGTACATACAGTGTGACATCATCTGAGGAAAACACACATGACAACTAGACGTGTACAGTTTCTGTAAAGATACCAATGCAATCATATTCGTTCTACACAATGCACATGGATAGGCATGGTTTCTGTTCAAATGCTAATTTTCATCTGTTGGTTTTCTGCACCTTTCTCTGGAATGTTGTGGTTTTGTTTGCTCAGCAGCAGGAAATAGCCAGGCGTGGGCCGTTGGTTGGAGACTGATATGAATGACCCCACAGTCACGGCATTTGTGTGTCCTGACCCCTTGTGGATGAATAAACACAGCACTGTTCTCAGAGCTTCAGTCCAGTTCAACAACTAAATCAGTGTAACGGCACTAGCAGAACTAACAGTGAAATGTTGCCAGTGGCTCTTTGACACATTGCGTTTGTTCATCTTTGGATAAAAAACATCTGCTGTACTGTTTCCGTTATGTTCTTCTTGACCAAAGGACATCAACACATGCATCTTGGAAAGCTACCCAGAATGCTCCAACCCCCGGCTCTTCTACATTATCCCATATTTCTGTGGGCAGCTTCCTCAGTGCAGGTGACCATTACACTCATATGTTCCTTATGTGATTCATTTTTAATGGTTCAAGCATTTTCATCCAACTCTGAATTAATAGATGGTGATGGGATAAACAAAGCTTTTTCGAAACTGTGAACCAGCCAAATCGAGATCGCTCGAAACACCACAGTCCGGCAGCACCTGCTGGTCAAAACATTGCAAACGCAATGAAAATTCAGAAAGTGTATTTTGAAAATATTTTGGAATTTATAAATGTTCGAACCCGTATGACGTAACAAAGCATCGTTTGCCGAAAAGACTTGGGGAGATTGAAACAAGCTCTGAATCAATGATTTATAAACAAAAGATTAATAAATGTTTCAAAGCTTCTTGTTTCGAAAGCAGACGTACTAATGTAGTGTAATGTATGGTGCAATAATCTGTCATGAGCTAGAGAGCCGGGTGTGTGGGCGCTGGAGACGGCCAAGCAGAACGTTCTGGATCATTATCTGCTGGTAGGAGTGTTGGAGGAACTTGAGGATGTGCTGCTTCTGCTGGAGAGACTCCTTCCACACTTCTTCTCTGACGTCTTGAACATCTACAAAAGTCCAGGTGAGACTTTTCCTGCAGATTTACAGAGATGATGTTTAGCAGGATAAATTCATATAAGTTGTGTATTTCAGATGGTTTGACTGGTACGTTTTTATTTTTTTATTATTAATATTTATATTAATATTCCAATGTTTAATTATTTTTTTATGCAATGCAGTGTCAGAAATATTCATTAATATAAAAAAACCTAAAAATCGTACTTCAAACTAATTTTAACGTATACCTAATTACGTATATTGTCAAATTACTTAAAATATAAAATTTATTTACCTAATATAAATAAATGTATATATCATTTTTATATATTTTTAATATTAAATCAAATTAAAATGGTAAAATTTATATACAATATATAATTATATTATATATTTGTATTTATATATATATATATATCAATATTAAAAAAAAAATATATATATGTTATTTATATATATATATATATATATATATATATATAAAATGTAATGATTTCTATATAATTTTTATAAATTTTCATATTGAGTCAAATTACGTAAATGCTATTTGTATGTAAATATAATTTTATATTTTATAAATATGATTTTTATATTTTTATTAAAAATGCTTTGTAAATTTATGTAAATATAATTTAAATTATGTGTGTGTATATATTTATACATTTCTATACATTTTTAATATTAAGTCACAAAAAAATGTGTAATCAATGTACAGAAGACTTTTTTATTAAACTTAACATTAATTTTGTGTCTAAATCTTTATCTGTTGGATTCAGAATACAGGAAGCTGGGGAACATGACGGGCACCGTCCACAAACAGACTCCTAATCTAGAGGCCCTGCAGGTGCTTTATGAGCGCATGGAGTACGAGTACAAATTCTACAACTTTGTCAAAGCTCAGTTCCACCTCACCAAGAGGAAGATCGGCCTGAGATCTGGCCCAAAACCCTCCAGACCTTATTCTAGTGTGTTTCAGAGGAAAGACCTACAGGAGGAGCTGGAGGAAGAGGACACAGAAGACTCGCTCGAGTGGACTGAACACACCTGAGACAGATGTCTGCTAGAGTCTAAAATAAATGATCATTCAGGTCCTACTGAACCATAAAACTGGGCGAAGCTTGAAAATCATGATTTTGTTTATTTGTAAAAAAAAAAACAGATTGCACTGAATGTTACCAACATTTTAATAACGTTTCAGAGGAAAGACCTACAGGAGGAGCTGGAGGAAGAGGACACAGAAGACTCACTAGAGTGGACTGAACACACCTGAGACAGATGTCTGCCAGAGTCTAAAATAAATGATCATTCAGGTCCTACTGAACCATAAAACTGGGCGAAGCTTGAAAATCATGATTTTGTTTATTTGTAAAAAAAAAAAACAGATTGCACTGAATGTTACCAACATTTTAATAACTTGACCTTATATATATATATATATATATATAGATAGATAGATAGA